TATATATATTTAGTACAGGGTCTATAGGGTCTCACTACGTAGACTGGACTTGTAGTGATTCTCCTATTTTCAGCCTCCCAAGTGCTGGGATTACAGGTGCACACCACCATGTCATCTCAATCGCCACCTCAGGGCATCCTAGGGGTGGGGCCAGCACAGCATGCTGAGGATTGCACTCTGCCTGAGCAAGCACTTTGGTCCACTGAGCTATCTGACCAGTCCTTAATTTTTTTTTTTTTTTTTTTTTTTTTGTGGAAGTGGGGATTGAACTCAGGCCCTTGCACTTGCCAGGCAAGGGTTTATTCTACTGAGCCATCTCCCCAGCCCCTTATTTTAAGTTTTTGAGACAAGGTCATGCTATATAATTCAGGCTGGCCTCAAATTCATGGTGATCCTTCTACCTCATCCTCTAGAATGCTAGAATTACAGGTGTGGCCACCACACCAGCCAAGAGTATTTTGAACCACATTTTTGGGGGATTTGGGTTCGTGTTAGTCTGGCTTCAGTACTGGGGATTCAGCCCAGAATCTTTATACTGAGCTACATTTCTAGCCTTTTCTTTTGTCTATTTTGAGAAAGGATTTTGCTAAATTGCCCAGGCTTTCTACCCATTAGCTCAGGGTTTTTGTTTTTTTTTTTTGCGGAACCAGGGATTGAACTCAGGCCCTTGCATTTGCCAGGGAAGTGCTTATTCCACTGAGCCATCTCCCTGGCCCCAAGCTCAGTTGTTTAAGTGTCTGTTTAAACAAAGCAAGCAGTCAGGCTCAGGATGCTGTGGTTCAATCCCTAGATCCGTATGCCTTACCAGACCTGCCCTTAAGGCATCTTAAGCCAGCCAGCCAGCCAAAAAAAAAAAAAAAAAAAAAAAAAAATCCTTCTAAATTGCCCAGGCTGGGACTGAACTTTCAATCCTACCTCAGCCTTCCAGAGTGTTAGGATTACAGGCATAGCCACCAAGCCCAGCTTTTTCTAGTTTCTCACAAAATACAATAAGCTTGGGCTGGCGAGATGGCTCAGTGGTCTAAAGCACCTACTTGGAACAAGCTTGGCAAAGCACAGGGACTGCGGTTCAATCCCCCAGCACCACATGCCAGCCAGCCCC